CGTCGATTTTCTGTTTTCACGTGAAAACAGCATTATCGATCCGATACACAAACGGGTAACGCAAGACATGAATCGGCCTCTATCAGATTATTGGATATCGTCCTCCCACAACACGTATGTCTACTGTTGTTTGTTGTTGCGTAATTTTTGCAAATACTGTGCCATAATGCTCGCAAAGCTGCGTTGGTCTTGTATTCACGCACAGCAAATTTTAGACGAAATTCCGCTGTGACCACGGGGTGACCGGAACAATGTAAACGCCATACCTGACGTGAGTCTCGAGTAACTGGCTGCGCCATTTGCTTCTGATGAGGGCTTGATCGAGTTGAGATTGCAGTCAGAGGACGTCCAAGTGGGATAGTGAGTTTGCCCATAAGGGAATAAGATCCCGCCTACGATGAATCTGTCGCCTAAGCAGCCTGTCGTTGTAATTCGCGCAGTCATATCGAGACGACTGAGGCACCTGGCCATGTGCTGTACTCGGCACCTCTTTTCTCGTTGAGCTCTACTGTGACAAATGTGATGTCTAGACCAAGCTGACTGCGACTAGTCATAGAATTCCTCTCTGTCGCTGTTACTCGACACATTTGTTGGAGCATCAGCGGCAGTACTATTTACCGTCATCTATGTTTGATATATACGCAACAGATAAAGATTTTCTCTGACACCTTTTCCATAGTAATGACCGCACGGCTACCCTTGGGGACAGGAGGATATCCACGCCGGGACACATCGTAATCTAATGCGACTTGACCCCCCTCCCATCGTCAAGTCAAGCGTCCCCTTACCATTTAGGCGAGCTTCTATTGCCGTCAATGCGTCGAGTTTGTCCGGTGGGCTACTATACAACAAACATCGTTTGGCCTACCTTTGCCACACAAGAGGCTAACGTTCCAACATGCAACACGAGACTGATCTCTTGTAATGTTGATTGCCGGTGCGACGGATTGCTTTTTGTCTCTTATTTTGCGTCTTTGAAGCACTCGCTCGGAAATCAACCTAACAAGCGTAGTGTGTAATCATGGGGGTCCAGACAACATGACAGATTCTGCAGAGTGTTGTCTGAGGACTGTGCAGAGGATGTCATTGCACGCAGTTTCACTGAGACGTACAGAGTAGAGCTCCAGCATCCGCGCATTCTTGAACTGTATGGAGTGAAAGACGCCAGAAAAAATTATCTAATTTTAACGGCCACAATACGGTGCCATCGGGAAGAATAACAGATCATATAACATGTAACACTACGCGGATTTCGCCTATGGTCTAATCATTTCTTTAAAATCATGCTAATCGTTAATTTAATCATTTTTGGCCTATTACTACTTGCTTTCAGATATCTGACAGGCGATCAGCTGAAAAGTGAATCATCATTGGACGCCTACGCCAAATGTCTTTTGATGGGATGTCGCTGCGTCGAACGTATGTTTATACTAAAGTAGTTTTTTAAGTAATTTAATGGTTTGGTCTTACACCAAGATTATGGTATAATCGATATCTGCGTCTATACGAGAAAATATTTTATTCATAAACGTCCAGAATGCAATGCCTCAGTAGGTGACCGCTTTTCAACTGCACCTAC